TTATTTCGAATTTCGTTTAGCAGCTCCTAGTTTGGCTTTCGCTTCCTGGAATGCCGCACACATTCGGTTGCCTGCTGCATGGTTAGTGTGTTTCTCACCTCTTAATGCACAACACGCACGACGGCACCTTTGTGCAGGACTTGGCCTTATGGTCTTTGCTACCGCACTTGAAGCATAGGGCCGATCGGTAGTCCGGGCTTTGACACTTCCTCGCCAAATGACCAAATTCGTGGCATTTGTAGCACCTTGTTACAGAGTCTTTAGCTCTTATGCGGCAGATAACCCAGCCAATTCGTATCTTCGCCATTTCCAGAAGCTTGCGGGCCATCGCGGTCGGCAGGCTATTTGCGCACATTTGTGTGCCGCCATATGCCGTACGCATTGAGCGTATCGCTGACAGTTCAATGTGCGAGCCGTCCATACTTTCATTTAGCGCTGTTAGGACTTCCTCTTTGGAGGTAATTTCATCGATGTCCTTTACTTCGAGCACTGCTTCCTGTGTGACAGTTCGCACTTGGGCGCTATTGCCGATGATGGTTTCTACCGCTTCTTTTAGCTTTTGTGTTACTGGGTCAGCTTGGTTTTTGAGTTCGAAGAGCAACTCATCATTTGCCGTTTTTCTTATTTTCTTAACACTTTCGCTGAGTTCCTTCAACTGCGATTGTGACTTTATCATTTTAAAGATATCGGCATACGAACAATCACCGGTTTTTTTGCTTGTTTCATTGGCTTGTTTCGTGTCTTTCGATTGGCTATTTTCTGTAGTTATTTGGGCGCTTTTGGTAGTCACCTGATTCCCATTATCGGCATCACTCAATGATTTTGTTTTGCGCCGCTCACTTTGATGTTGTTGGGCGTGCGGGACAAGTGTTTCGCTAGCTAGGGTAGACTCAGGCGATACGACACGGGAGCGCTTGCTCATTGGTTGCGGCGAATTTGATGGGATCAACTCTTTGTCTTTATCATGCGTCGGTCGCACTGAGTGAGCAGAGGTGCATGCTACTTTCAGGAGGTCCAGGTTCGAATGACGTCAATAGCAACACATTAAAATTATAGATATGTATATAAATGCATTTATTAAAATTGAAATAATTCCTGAATTTTAAAATTGTGAAAAAGTTTCTGTAAATTTCAGAATGAAATTGTTTTCAACGAAAAATTTAATCAGACAAATTTCAGGAAAGCGCATCCGTTTCACAACCATTTTCGATAGTTTTATGTGCATACGTTTTCGATAAAGACTTCAGTGGGAGAATGGATCCGAAAAACGACCGAAAACGAAATCCGAAAATGGATGAAACATCAGGGTTTTATACGAAATGCCATTTTCGGCTACATTTCCGGATATTTTGCTGGCTGTGATGTTACATTAGAAATAAGAATTTTAAAAATTCATTTATTCAGTTTTGGCACTCAGTATGCAATACATAATACTTTTTGTAAATTACATAATACTCTTTGTAAAGAAAAAATTTGCTAATTTCAAAATAAAAAAAAAACAACCAAATCATAGAAAATACTACAAAACAACCAAGTTCGAAAAAGAAAATAAAAACAACCAGGTTTGTTTGGAAACAACCAACAGTGGCAACCGTGGTAAAAACTCCTTGGACACTACTATTCACACTCATGAAATATTAGCAATTTATTTCTTGACCATTTACTTAAAAGGTCTGTAGTTAGCTTTGTACTTTGAAATAAGCATGATCGTTAAAATTAACCTTGGAAACCCTGAATAAGAAAAATACTTAGCAGTTTCAAGCAAAAGCTTAAACTTTTCGCTCCTGTTTATTACTTTATCGAATTTTGTTGGTAGTTATCGAAATTTGTATGTTTATCGAATCCAAATTTTTAGAATTTTCAGAGTATATCGAGTTATCGAAATTTATAGGGTTATATAAGTTTATCGAGTTATCACTATTTATCGAATTTTATCGGAATGCAAGAATGTATTGAGTTATCGAAATGTATAGTTATAAAATTTTATCGCGTTATCAGATTTATTGAGTTATCGAGTGATAAAAACGCACTCTTATCGAAATTTATCGATAGTTATCGAAGTTTTTTGAGTTATCGATTTTAATCAAGTCATCGGAATTTAGTGTTTTGAAGTTGATCCAGTTATCGAGGCTAATGAGTGCGCGTTCTCGTTATCGAAATTTATCGATGGTTATCGCAATTAGTCGACTCATCGATTTTCATCAAGCTTTCGGAATTTAGTGTTTAGAAGTTTAGAGTTATAAGAATTTAAAGTGATCTAAGAGCAACGGGAGATAAAGAAGTTCTATTTGGGAGAAAGGTAATTTTAATGTCTGGTAATTTCCGTAAAATTTTTCAGGTAGTTTCCCATGGTTCCCGTGTCACCTTAAATGAAAATTGTGTTGAACCTTGGTCTGATTTTTTCTCTTTTACACCATTTGACTTTGACGCATAATATGAAAGCCCTCCCATACGAAACTGAATTTGTGGTTTCTCAAATAATATACGTAACTGAAGAAATCTTTGGGAATATTGTGAAAAACATTCTTTCTGATAACATTTTGCATTATGTTATATTGGCCCAAAAAAAAAAGATGACTTGTCTTTTATCAATGCAGAAATTTCTGAGCGTATGCCGAGATAACAAAAGTCATACTTTAATGTTGATAAAATTATTTGTGATGATGTTCGGGAGCATAAAAATTACTAAATTTTTAAACTTTTTAAGTCTCAGCGGATTACCTACCTCCACATAAAGTGGTACTCAAAAAAAACTGTATTGTAATGCTTACATGGTACCCGCATGCGTGTGAAACAAATGCATAAAAACCCTTTAGGTTGAGAAGTTTTAGCTGGAATTTCATGTGGCTTGCGAATATTAAACCCTCGCACTCATTTGTCCTATTCTGGCATTATTTTGCCCTTTTCGTCCCAGGGTACACAATTTCCAATCATTCCCGCTTTTTGTATGACTATGAGATTTATTCTCAGGGACAAGGGTTGGTTTTTTATTACGAACACCTGCATTTTCTTGTGGAAAATGATATGTTGCGCCTAGTAGAGTTCGTTCATTGTACGGATTGCGGTTCCACCTTCCAGATACTTCAGATCATGATATTTGTCTGCCGACCAACGGGTTTTACAAAATCACAGTTTATATTGTTGTCCACTATTAAAATATTGAAAATAAAAAAAGATATAAAAAATCACGTTTTACTTAGATCCAAAGCAGAAGATTTGCACCTTGTAAGTTAGACGACGTGCTATGTCTGAAAGCATCTCCCGGGCTCTCAAAAAACTAGGAAAACGGCTGACTTTGAACATCGGTTACGCAGGTTCGATCCCTGCTGAAGTCTAGAAAAAAGAAGTCTGATGAGGAGATGTGGTGATCTCCGAAATAGCTGCTATAACTTCTACCGCTTAGACTTTGTTGCTTTTTCATCTTTTCCTAATAAACAATCGTNTATTGAAGCTTCTGATATTCATCTAAGCCAGTGATTCCCAAAGTGGTCCAAGGTGGACCCAAAGTGGTCCAAGGTGGACCCAAAGTGGTCCAAGGTGGACCCAAAATTGTCCAGGTGGACCCATAATTGTCCAAGTGGACCCAAAGTTGTCCAGGTGGACCCAAAGTTGTCCAGGTGGACCCAAAGTTGTCCAAGTGGACCCAAAGTTGTCCAGGTGGACCCAAAGTGGACTTGTTTGTCTCAGTTTCAGTTTTGCCATCGCCGCGAGTTGGAGCAAATTTTTGTTATAATTTCTTCAAAAAACCTAAGGTAAAGCCGCCTTTGCCCATATGATTAGCATGTGCTACGAAATAGTTTTTTGTATTTTCTGACAAACGTTATATTTTGAGTTGTGACTCTTTTGAAGACGGTGTGCAATATAATTCATGTGGATTATAATTTGAAAGTATCTATTTAGCCAAGGAAAAAGCAAAGCAGTATACTTAAGCCAGCACTTCCAGCAGATATTGACCTGGGTTTTCGCACGACTGTTCCTGTTTCATCGTTTCTTTTTAGGAAATTCTTACCACCATATACATGTGTATTATTTACACTAACAGCTATTTATGTAAATATGTATGTATTTTTTATACTTAATATATGCAAATAAAAGAAGAAAGTAAACACAACAACCATCGAGTAAATTTTTATTTGTGTCAAACTGAAACTTTTTTTCCAATAATAAACAGTTAGCTGATTCAAGTCTACAGCAAGTTCACAAATTTAATTGAAAACTTGTATCAACCAAAGCATTGTTTATATTTGCTCAACAATGATTTTATTCAACTAACAATATTGTCCACTCAAGGTAGTCGTTTTGTAATTATTAACAACTATACATTTGTCCCAGCTAGAAGTCTCAAGTAAATTGCAGACTTTCGTGAACTAGATATTTATTTCGTCATATCCAACTATGCCACTTGGTCACTTTAACCAAATCTTGGTAATTATAACTAAACCTTTTTCTGAGTGTAGGTCACTCTGGAGTAGAGATGGGCCCTGCTTAAGCCCGCGGGTACGGACCGGAATATCTGCTGTCAGCACAAACTCGTGCGGGCCTGGGCGTTCAGTAAAATTTCATAAAAGCACGAAAAGGCACGAAAAAGCCCGTTGCTAATACTAAAAATTTAGATGAGCTTTTGTTTTTATACAAAAAAATAGTACATATTTAAAACTCTTTTGATAAGAGAAAAGCAAAAACATAAATATTTGCAAACCGATAGAAAATATATGATACTTATTAGTTTTGTTTACATACATATCTGTACATAAAATACCTTCCACTTTTTCTACTTCCCAGAAAATATATTATAAAAATCTACAATAAAAGTTGGCTCTTTATTTCCGGGCTGGGGCGTGACTGGTCGTGCCGGGCAGTCCGGGCCGGGCCCCACTAAAATTCTTAACGTGCGGGCTTGTGCGTGTTTTTGAAAGTTGATTTTGCACTCGTACCGGGCCGGGCCTGAAAATTTAGGCCCGTGCCCATCTCTACTCTGGAGTAGCTGGTTATGAGACATCTGTAGTGCGATTCCCATTTTTCCTAACGACCGATATTCGTTATTGATAATGAACGACGTTTGTAGCTTGCAGTAGCGAATAGGCTATTCTCAAAAACACACTTAACGCCAGAATTCGTTAGGCATGTCGGTAAAGAAGTTTACGACGATTTTCGTTAATTGCAAAGATAAATATGGCAATATTGACGTTTGACATTTAATATTTGAAAGAAAATTTGATTATTGTTACGCGTATTATTATTGTCGGGACTGTTGTGTGTGAATATATTATGGAAAAAAAACAGAAGCGCTAGAGCTACTACGGAGCAGTACCACAAAATGCTGGACTTTTTCCTTGGCAATAAGGGCCTCGCGGAAGGCAAGTTCTCCGCGATTCATGGCCGGCAAGAAGCTTCCCGGAAATGGGAAGAGCTAGCGATGTTGCTAAATAGCTCAAATGGTGCCGAAAAATCTGCAGCTCAGTGGCAAGTAGTAAGTTATAGTAGATCACATAGTAGATGATATCTGCAAAACACAATAATTGCAATTTTTGTATTAGGTTTGGCGCGATTTGAAAAGCCGGACTTCCGTCAAGGCAAGAGAGCGCAGGAAGCAAATGGCGGCAACAGGAAATGCTCCAATGTTAACAGCTCCGCTTTCTGATTTAGATCAGAAAGTTTTGAGCTTACTTGGTACAGAATATGTGGAAGGGAGTAGCCAATGTGTGGAAAGTATTCCGGAGGAAGATGTTAGTACAAATATAGATGTATATATGTACATAGATAGTATGTGTGTATATTTGTATATTGTATTTGCCTACAAATATACAATTGTACGTATTAAAAAAACCATTCAATTTCGTATACATACATACGTATTTATGTACATATCGCTCATTTACTTCAATAGTGTCATAATAAAAAAGAAACAAAGATCGTCTTAAGTATGCAGAAATAATCGCTACCTTTTCTTCTATGTTGTGTAAAAATTTCACGGCTATATCGATTACCGGTAGAACAAAATATGCATTGATTTTTACTATGGGAGTACATATGTATATGTAAATTCAAAACTTTAAAGCTGTTTTTCTCGAGTTTTTTATTTATTTATTTTTTTTTTGATTGACACTTCCAGCAAATGTGCGATATGTTCATACATACATACATATATGTATATAATTATAGAGTCTGCAAATTTCTCTTGAGAACGGAGACGCATCCGTGCTGGTTGATTACCCTGTGGTTTCAATAGCAGAAGCAGCTCCTATTCCCGTCGAGGCTACTCAATCGACAGGAACCAAAAATGCTTCGACGTCCAGGCGAACTTCGACTTTGAAGCGAAAGTCCGTAATGGAAAGTACACGGGAGATTTTCGCTAAAGTAGCAAAGCAGCAGGCAGATGCTATGATAGTAAGTATAAGTTGCCGTATCTTAATTTTTGCCTTATATTTCGTCTTTTTACTTTAGATGCAGGCTGAAGCCGCCAAAGTGCAAGCTGAGTCAGCAAAACAGCAGGTTGAAGCCATGCTTCTACAAGCCCAGGCCTTTGTGCGCGTAGCAAACGCCTTGGAAGATTTAACAAGTTCTGTTAAGCTGCTGGTTAATAATACTGTTCTCGAATTTTGAACTTTTTTTGAGCCAAGGTTTTAATAGTTACTTCATTGAGACATTCTAAATTCAATGGATTCTCCCGTTCTATCAGATTGGCTCCAGCTTTCGAGATAACGGCACTTGAAAATTTGCTTAAATTTCAACTTTTTTTATAAATAACTCCCTGAGTTTTAAAGTTATTTTACTAAAACTTTGCTCATGACTGTTTTTTAATATTAAATTCACTATAAAAAACAGTCACGTGCAAAATTTTTTTAAAATAACACAAACACTAAGTGTTAATTAGAAACAATTGAAGCAAATTTTCAAGTACAGTTATCTCGAAAACTGGAGCCAATCTGATAGAACGGGAGAATCCATTGAATTTAGAATGCCGCAATTAAGCAAGATCAACTATCAAAACCTTTGCCTAAGTGGTGTAATAAATAAAATGTAATAATAAAAAGCACATATGTATGTTTGTATGTATGTGATAAATACTTATTAGTTGATTTTTTTCTAAGTAAATTTAGCAGCTATAAGGCGCTCTTGCATTCTCTTGGCGAGAGCTGATGGGTGAATGGATTCTTCCCAATCTTCTTCCAAAACTGCTTCCACAATTCGATCTTCACTTTGTATATCGCTGTTGTTTTCAACTGTGTTGAGTCGCATATTATGCAGAGCTGCGCAGGAGTTTACAATCCTGCCAGCGAAGCCTGGCTCGTACATAAGTACTCGCTGCTTCGAAAGGCATCGCCATGTTCCCTTCAAAACTCCAAATAGTCGTTCGACACAGTTCCTTGCTTTACATAAAGCCTCATTGTATCGAAATTGCGGTGTACCTTCTCTCTGGTTTGATAGAGGTGTCATCAGCCATGGCTCTAATGGGTAACCCNTCATTTGGCCAGAGTTTGCTCGGTCCGCAACCAGTTTTAGCACTCCCACCTTCGGCAATCGAAGCCACCATCATAAACTGGGTGAATACTTCGCTCAGAAATGANACAGCCGGTCGCATAAAAACGAAGCGCTGCAAGCACCTGAAATCGACGAATTGATGGCCTTTGTTTGATGATCAAGAAGTTTGAGATCTCTTACCTGTTTTTCAGCCGATAATGCTGATACATATTTTCTTTCAAGACGACTGCCAATTTTGTCTATGATTTCATAAACAAGATTGGGGGTCAGCCGGTATAACCTTTTAAATTGGCCCTCGTCCAAATCAAAGGGGCTGTCCACTTCTCTTAGTAGAGCGCGTTCTGCTGCAAAACTCCTTGCTCCTTGTCGTTGTTGGGCCATTTCCGCATCGTATCCAAGAAACTGGAACGCCATTGTCGTTTTCTAAAAAGTTGTATTTTTTATAAACGAATTTATAATTTTTTATTATAATAGTTTGCTTACCGATGAATTTTGCCTAATTTTTCTCAATAAAAACTTAAACCAATTTTATCGTTAGGCTTTTCAACGGCAAAATATTCGTAGCTAGGCTATCAACAAATTTCGTTAGGCAACTGTCAAACCTACCGACAATATTCGCTAAAAGTGTGTTTGGGAATAGCACTTAACGAAACTNCGCCTCACTTTAAAACTCGGAGGCATAAAAATAAAAATGATGCGATGAACACAAATAAACTATTTTACATATACTCCACGTGCAAAGTCATGAGTGAGCCGAACATTTGATGAGTTTATGGTGAAAATAATGTAAATAACGCTAGCGCTCTTAAAAAATATAACTCCTCCGAGCAAGAAAGTATTTTGATGTATTTACGAGCTCTATTTTTAAACCCTACAAGTGTGTTATCACATTATTTTTATAAATAGAACTTAAGAAAAAATTTACTTTTATTTTCGCCACTCTGAGTTTAGTTTTTGAATTAACCCGCGATGCAAATTTACATTGTTAGATCTAATTTTCACATTTAATTTTTTTACGAGCTTTGGGAATATATAGAAATGTATCAGCAGGGGGTCCACCGAAACCAGTAAATTTTTGAAAGGGGTCTACGAGAAAAAAAGTTTAGGAACCTCTGATCTAAGCTGAACCAAACCGTTAATTTATTTAAGGGTTTAGTAAATACTAATTAATGCTTTGAAGCACATTTCTACAAATGCCGTTCAACTTAACGTATGGTTGATAAAAGAGTGTTATTAAGGTCTGCTTATACAGAAGAGCTTTCTCTCAACACATAGTGTAGTCATACTAGTTGCCATACCCTAGTTGAGGCCATCGCGATTTGTTTAGAGACCGGAATATATTTATGCCTGTGAGTCACCATACTAAGGTATTAAAACGATTCAGTGAATGAGACTGTGTGCATTAAAAGCATTACTACGCTACCGTTGTTCGTATATGTGTGAAACACACATAGCCTACCGCAAGGCGAATTTATACAAGGTGGTAGCGACAGCCCCAAAACAAAAGCTACACAAATAAAGTATATTGGCAATCAGAACAAAACAAATTGATAAGAACACATCATTTTGACAAACAGTGCGGCTGGGGGGTAAAATGTGATCAGGGTTGATAATGAGAAGGAGCATGAATTTTGCTCATTCAGAGTTGAGTACAAAATTGCTGTGGTATGAAAGCGAGCAAACAACCGTACTGTGGCAGAGTGGCACAAATACTTTTGTTAACAAACACTTTTTTTATAATTGTAATAGAAAATTGTTTTTTATTTACTAACTAGCCGGCCACGGATGCGCGAGGGTCCGCCACGCGCTGAATGTATGCATATAATGGGTGATTTTTTTGAGGTTAGGATTTTCATGCATTAGTATTTGACAGATCACGTGGGATTTCAGACATGGTGTCAACGAGAAAGATGCTCAGTATGCTTTGACATTTCATCATGAATAGACTTACTAACGAGCAACGCNGAATGGACCACCTAAGACGCAGCCGCGGTCAACATTTAAATGAAATTATCTTCAAAAAGTAAATGTCATGGACCAATCTAACGTTTCAAATAAAGAACCGATGAGATTTTGCAAATTTTATGCGTTTTTTTTAAAAAAAAAGGTATCAAGCTCTTAAAAAATCACCCGTTATATGTACATTTACGAATTTGGAGAAAGAAGTCATATGTCATCATGTACTTAAAAAATCTTGTCTACATCCGTTCAGTAGCGTGGTCAAAATATCTCGCCTTTCTTTTGTACTATGTATAGAATATAGTAATTTTAAATAGGTGGCAACCCTACTCAAAAAATTTAAAGTTTTCGTACATGCGAAGGCCATGCACTTTCATTTGGTATCTTATTTTTTATCCAACGAACGGTGAAGATCTTATAGTTTTTAAACAGGTGGCAACCCTACTCAGAAAAATAATACATTATTACACATCCAGAGGCTAAGTCTTTTCGTTTTAAAGTGACAACACAGAACTGATGCCTACGCTTATTATTATTGAATATAGTAATTTTATTAACAGGTTTCAACCCTATTAAAAAAATATATATTAGTGCTTTTCTAGAGGCAAATCTCTTTCATTTGACACCTCATCTCTTGTAACCAAACGAACGGTGCGGATCTTATAGATTTTTAGACAGGTGGCAACCCTATTAAAATTCTAAGTAAAAGAAGATCATTCCTCTCCTTTCGATACAGAGTATATTAGAGAAAATCTCGTCAAAATCCATTCAGTAGTTTTCGAGATTACCGCGTTCAAAGAATCTCGACTTTCCTTTATACTATGTATAGATATTCAGATATCCAGCTTGTAGGCAGAGGCAGTGGCATGCGAGGCTCACTAAAATCTACTCATCATGTTGGAGAAGCTCCATACCCAACGGAGTCTCCAAGCAAATGCATGTCCTAAATTTATACGGTAGCAATTCATAGGAATCACTATTGTAGTGTGTATGATTCATATTAGTGACATATACGTTAAGTATTTCTGAGCAATTCTGGGTAATGCTCCCCCAAACTTGGGTGCGCTGGCACGCATTGGAGTCTCTACAACTATACAAACCTTGTTTTTTTTTTGGAAGGAAGACTTAAATATATTCTGAAATTTAGAATTTTGCGTGATAAATTCACAATATAACAAAAAATTCACGTTTTTCATAAAAAAATAATCTTACAACGGATATTCTTTTAATTTTAAACTTAAATTTAAGAAAACTCCATTCAGTGCTTTAATTACGACTGTAGTTTTCCAGTTTATAGAAACACACACGTTAATTATTTACCTAGCTATTGATATTATTCTTAATTAAGCTTTGATATTATACTTAACCTACATTTTGTTCATAAATAACACATTATAACATTACAATTATATATACTTTATCTTCGAAAATAACTTTTTCTAATCGTGAGGTGAAACATGAACCAACGACACAAGATCACGCAAGAACAAGAGAGTGAAAGAAGTCGATGTTTTGAGCGGGTTCTACGCCATATTGTTTCGCTCGAAATGAAAGAAAGTAACCAAAGCAATGAAAACAACGAAAACCAAAATTATTGCCAGCCCCTTTAAACAAACAATTTGCTAAAATTATTCATTAAAACGCTTTAAAACGTGTTGTCATGTTTAACTAACTATTTTTTAGTTTTAGTATTTAGAGTAAAATAGTGGTGCTTGTGATGTAAACAAATACTCAGCTGACGAAAACGATTTCGCAAACTTTTTTCTCAAGATCAGTTACAAATACAACGTCGCGGTCTGGCGTGATCTTGTGTTTTTGGTTCATGGAGGCGAAATTACCCACAGTAAGTGTTTCCGTGCGCGCAAAACGAAAACGCTGCGCGCAACCCAAAAGTTCTCCTCGGGCACCAATTCGTGAAAAACTGCGAAAAGGTTTATTACTGTATATGCTGTGGTTCTGGTGCGCGCGTAATTAGTAATCCTGTGCTAAAAGAGATAAGACGTTTTTTTGTCCAGCTTCGTTAATTTAACGTTTTTCTTGGTGAAATGAACCTTTTTGGTCTGCATAATTTAATGCCTGAGATAGTGACTCCTTTTATCTAAAAAGTTGTTTGTTGATATCAACAAACTCATCTAAAATGCCTTGTGTTTGTAGACAAAAAGTCGATCGCAATCGCACAAAAGTCCAGTGTGCTAAGTGCAAAGAATTTTTTCATTTGGATTGCGCCGGCGTTTCGCATAATGACTTGGAGTCTTTGCTTAGCTCAGACAACAAATACTTTTGTAAAGAGTGTACGGCCTTTCGCCGAAAATCTTTTCGCATTTCTCCGCCTTCTGTGAAGCTGGTGGACAGGGAAATGGCCGATAATTTGTGTTTAACGAACTCAGCCAACAACAACCACAAAAGTCAGCACCAACCAAATCGTTTAATGAGAATGTTAAAGAGTCTGAGCTGCAAACTACGTTATCAAAAATTCTTTGTGAACTGAAAGCTCTTAACAGCTATCCGCAAATTAGCGCGTTGAGCTTTGCGCTAATAAGAGTGTTTCCTTCTAACACATACAATTTGTTCATGTTAGAAGAAAACAAGCTGACAAGCACAACGCTCTTATTTAGGTATGGCAGTA